TTGAAGAACAAGGATTGACAGACGACTGTCTCAAATGCTATCGGAGTAGTCGAAGTGGTTCCAATTCCAAAAATATACCAAAATTCAGTGCATGAATTGACCAAATAAACCAGAATTCTGAAAAGAGTAATGATTGGTAAAGGAAAAAATGACAAGAAAAAATTACAAGGAACTGATCTCACCCATTCATTATTAAAACTTTTCAAACAGGGTTTATGCATTTAAGATTAGGGTATAGTTAAGATCTTGACATATCATTCTTTGTCATTTTTTCCTTGTACCTATCACTATTCTTCTGAAAGTATGAGTGGTCTCCATAGCTCCAAAAGGTAAATATGGAAACTGTCCAAAAGATGGTGAGGAATTAGAACTGAAAGACAACATATTGGAAATACCCAATGCGGGAGACTTTGCTTGGAGTTGTTAAGGACGGAAAATTTGACGATGAATTTTAGTTGAATTTTTTTAATAAAATATTTTTCTAAATTTATGAGATGATGATGAGATGTGTCAATTGGGATTGCCATGTCAATAGAGATACAAGTAGAGTTATAAGAGTAGAGTGGAATATCATTACTTTTTCTCCAATTACTGAGAGTTTTATCTCTAATAACGTGTTGGTAATTGCTCATTTAAAATTCTGTAATGATATTTATTGATATTTGTTCGGACATTGAATATGTAATGTAAATACAAAAATTCTCTAAAGATTCATGCACTGAAAAATGAATACAAGCTTTCATACTTTTCTAAATTACAGATTTTGTATATAAATAATTGTCGAGAGACTGATCCATTAAAAAAGAAAGGAACTTACACGGTTCAAGCAAAGATTAGTGTTAAATTTGATAAATGGTCGCTTAAGATATCTTCATAATTCCAGTACGAAGAAGAATTACTTTTCATTTTCGTATATTTATGTCGTCAACGGTACACAAGTGACGACAGTTAAAAATCATCATCACAAAGGCATAAAGAGAGACCATAACAAAATGGAAAGAAACAACAACAATCTCACTTTGGCAGTTTGGCTATTTCTTCCCTTCTTTTTTTTTTTTTTTTTTTTTGGCTATATGTGGTTATTGCAATCATGTTCCAAAATGATTGTCTTTTTTTATTTTTTTTATTTTTAATTTTAATATAAGTTGTACTAATGAAATAAAAAATCAAATTAAACAGTTATTTTGAGATACATGGAGTTAAAAAAAACAGAGTATAAAAGAACAGGAGTACGTAGCGCGTACCTGTACCATGGGACAGTACTTGTTATCTTTGAGATAGATCTTAGTACACTGAAATGGAAGTCATTTCGTCAGATTATAAATAGAAAGTCAATTCCTAGCTTCTACACTGCACGGTGTAAATGTTTTACTGTACATTAAAGTTTTTTACAAGTACTACCAACTACGAAGTGAGACATTTAAAACTCATTTGTATGTGCATAGATTTTTTTTATCACCGTTATTTACTGTGAATGCTCCGTAAATATGTCAAAAATTATTTTACATGAATTTAAATTAGTCGAGACTACAATTTTGAACATAGAATCATAAGCAATAAGTAAAAAAAAAAAAGTACAATAATTTGAACTTAAGAAACAGTAGATTTCTCTCTATATATATCCTACTATATTAGAAACAAAAACCTCCCTTTCAAACACCTCATATGATTGCCACGTGGCATGTAGAAAGTACTAAATTGCCCTTTTGTCTAACCATAACTAAATTACTAAATTTCTCTTTCCACTTTACGTGACACGTTTTTTTTTATTATTATTTTTTCTTTATGTTTCATTCAACTAGAGTAGTTTTTTAAATTGAATTGATCAATTAGATTTTTGTTACAAAGTGTCAACTTTGTTTTAAGCGTATACCCTTCGGATGAAGCTTATTACAAAACTATTAAAAATCTCTAAAACTAAGTATTGATTTGGCACGACCAATGGAGAACATCAATAAATCATCTTAATAATATTTAAATTTATTAGGATGCTTTTATATTTTATTTAACATTTACCTCAACACATTTATTCGATTAAGGCTATTTATATTTAATAAGTAACACTTATAAAATATTTCTAAAACATACATGGCGAAATACAATTTCTTTTCTTTTTTGTGTGAAATACAAATATTTCTATGATCACACTTATAAAACATTTCTAAATCTTTCAAACATTTCTAAAATATATCGCTACAAATACAAAATTTTATTTTTTTCAAATATAAATATTTTTAAGATCTACAGATAGACTGGGCCAGGGTCGCGCATTGCGCGACCAGACATCACTAGTATATATATATATATATATATATATATATATATAGTTTCCATCGATCTATCTGATAAACTTCATCTAATTGGGTAAAATTAAATTAGCTTCTTAGTGAGTTGTACAAGTCATAAACAGTAAATCCAATTGATTGCCAAATTATTGCGTATAGCCTGGAGTGCCGTACGTAAAATAAATTCGGAGGACTAAAAGCCCACAACTTGAAGTATATAATTTTTTTCTTTCTTTTTTCCAAAGGTACAATAATGAGCTAGAGCAATTAATGTCAACCGAGAAATGATTCAGTTCCTGCTGGTAAAATTCGACAAGCTCTGGTTTACAGTTGCTTGAACGGTCCTAAGAATTAATTACCCGATCTTCTGACTCATTCTAAAATTTATCTATTTTTAACTGTTTGATTCGACGCTGTTGTTTTTCTTTTTTAGTATTTGTGGTAGGAATACTGTATGATCTTCTCCTGTATGTATATAGTACGTAGTTGCAGTTAATAATACACATGTATCACGATTCAGTAACAGGAGGTCTCAATCCATTATTATTATAATTATATCAATGTCATATATGTTACTGTATGATGCAATCGATACGATTCATATGAAGCATGAATATGGTACATGATGGAAAGGTTTGTGATCCTCACAAATTTCTTATCCGACTCACTCATGAATAATACATTTTCCGTCTCACAGAAATAATTTACATTATAAATTATATATATTATAATAAATTGATATTTTCTCTTTATATTTTTTCCTTCTCATATACCCCATGTGATTAGAATATTGCTTTGTCTATGTTTAGGTGAACTTGCCAAGTTGGCGAAGTAATCACCAACAAATCACCAGTGACGCGTAATATAATGATTAAGCTTCTCTTCTGTGAAATTTTCTAATAGATCATGGACCGGGTTCATATAAAAAATAATGGAACCATTTGAGGAACCTTTGAGATGATAATAAAAAATCATTTTATTTTTTTTTTAAAAAAAGGAATTTGTTTTGCCTTTTCAGTGAAAGATAGATGACCAATCATAGAACAATTAATTCAAACTCGTATTCTTGTACGAGATTGTCCAATCCAATGACGTATTATTCATTTTTATTTTTTTTTAATCTTTAGAATTTGTATATGTTTATAAACTACTCCCTCTGTCCTATAATTATTGTCCAGTTTGAGTTTTTATTTCTAGTTCAAATTGTACTAAAAGTGAAATCTTAAACTGGACAATAATTTTGAGACAGAAGGAGTACTATTTAAAAAGCTGTATAAGATATACCAATCTGATAGTTCAAAATTTTTGTTCATTAGAAAATAGGAACCTTTCATCATACATATTTTTTTCTTTTTTGGTTAATTAACCTTTCATCATATTAAATATTGTAATAAGCTACATAGAATTACTATCCGTTCTTCATAATAAAGTTTTTTTTTTTTTTGTGGAAAAGTGTATGAAGTATAGCTTGATTATATGGTATACTACTGAAACAAAAAGTTACTCATTTACGATTTCATTATTTCCCATTTTACACGTATTATGTTAAGTTCTACTTGATCTCTAGATAGATTAATTAACCGAAAATTCCAACTAGTTTCTTGCTCTCATCGAATGTAATAAAATATGGAGTTGACTGCAAACTAAAAATCCATTTCCTATGGCGAGAAACTTTATGCCGTTGATGAAACACTTTTATTTTCTGAAAGAAAAAGGGTTGAGATGGAGAATTATTTTGCCGATTGACTGGTGGTATTTTTTTCATCATACTATATACACACACGATGTTCGAACCCCAATAATTTGACTAATCCGAAACAAGCTACCTAAATATCCATTCCTGGCTCCTGGGTACATGTCTGTATTAGTATTCAAACCCTAGTTATAGTTAAGTTGACAAAATAAATTCACATCTACCACCTTAACCTATTCTCCCGATGCGCATGTCAATATTGAAATTCAAACCTAGTCACAGTTTAAGTGACGAAATAAATTTACATCTACCATTTTAAACAAATGCTTGTTGATTGGGACTCCCTCCGTCCTAAAATTTTCGCCATTTTCATTTTTAGTACAAACTGAATTGAAAGTGAAAATTTAAACTAAATAATAACTTTGGGACATATGGAGTAGCTTTTTTTTTCTCGAAAATCAGTCAAATAAAGTAAAAATATCCACAAGAGTATTAAAAAAAAAAAACCCCAAACCACCAATAACAAAATATGATACTGAATTTGAAGGGTTTATAAAATTAGGATTGGCATCTAGAGATAACAAGTAAGTCGTGCAGTAGCTTAGTACACCATATTAAAGCCTAACGACCTTTTCTACTGTAAAAAGTATTTCCATGGACCATTTACCTCGTCTCGTTAGATTAATACTTTACTTCATTCATATGATTTAAGTATTTAAGGTTAGGACATAATTTTAATGATTGACACATCATTTCCAGTAAATTTTTCCTGTATGTGTTACTATTCTCTCAAAAGAAAAATAACAAGGGAGAAAAAGAAAGAGGAGGGGGGGACTTGTGTCAAAATAGATCACCACAAATCATATATGCCCCTCCCTCTGATCAGAATTTAATATCTTTATCCCATATATGTCGCTGACCTTTCTTCTTCGCCCATATCTTTTAATCTTTCTCATATTTACTACACACTTCCAAACTCCCTCCCTCCCTCCCTCCCTCTCTCTCCCTCTCTATTTCAGGTCTCTCTCTCTCACACACAGTCACACACTTATAGGCTTTCTCTTCTCCACTTTTTATATACCATATTGAAGTCATCAACTTTTTTGCAAGTGTGCTGTTTCACTTGTGAGAGTGTAGTAGTAAGTGATCATACACTCTACTATTATTGAAACTTGAATAGTACCTTTTTTTGCTACTACTTACTAACTAGAAGTAGTGGCTAGTAGCTTCTATATAAAGAGCAAGAGCTTCAAACTTCTTTTGCTTTGTTGATCTCTAACCAGATCATATTGATCATCATCATCAGAGTAGCCGAATCGAATCGAATCCCATCGCCACAGATTGATGGGGCGATCTCCGTGCTGTGATAAAGTTGGTCTTAAGAAAGGACCATGGACTCCTGAAGAAGATCAAAAACTCTTGGCTTACATTGAAGAACATGGTCATGGAAGCTGGCGTGCTTTACCTGCTAAAGCTGGTAATAATTTCATCATTGCTCTTCTCTAGCTTATGATCAACAAAATGATGATTTGGGTTAGGTTTGATTTAACTAGTTTTCCTTTCATTTTAATTAATAAATCAGGTCTTCAGAGATGTGGGAAGAGTTGCAGACTTAGATGGACTAACTACCTTAGACCAGATATTAAGAGAGGGAAATTCAGCATCCAGGAAGAACAAACCATTATTCAACTCCATGCTCTTTTAGGAAACAGGTTACGACTTTACCTTGTTTGTTTTCTGGGCCGTACTTTTTTTTTTTTTGAAGTCTTTTGAAGCTGATTCAGGTGGATATATTACCAGATACATACATGTGACAATTGTTCATAGGCAGTCTGTTAATTTTGCAGAGTCCTAAAATTACACCAAAGCTAGCTTCCTCATTCTTATTAATGTTGTTAGTTACAAAAATTTAAGAATTTGTACTGTTGAAAATGATTACGAATTGACCCTTCCTTTGGGTACTATATTGTTTTTTTTAAAGGTAAAATGGTTTTTGATCAGTGTGTAAAACTGACACAATCCAAAAACATTCCAAATCAAGCATTGTTCATTGTTAGTCGTAGAAACACATCAAAACTATTTTTGTCACGTTGTGAAATGGATGTATTCAGAATTCCCGGGTTTTTAAATTAACAATTCAGATGATAATTTTTATAGACAAGAAGTACATTATTTTTTGTTGTTTAGTTGTAATTTGATCGAGGTGGTGGCTTTGTCGTGTACTCAGGTGGTCGGCAATTGCGACACATTTGCCCAAAAGAACAGATAATGAGATCAAGAACTATTGGAATACCCATCTGAAGAAACGGCTGGCCAAAATGGGGATTGATCCGGTGACTCACAAGCCCAAAAGCGACGCCATCTTGTCCGGCGACGGCGGCGGAGCCCAGTCCAAGCACGCCGCCAATCTCAGCCACATGGCCCAATGGGAGAGTGCCCGGCTCGAAGCTGAAGCCCGGCTGGTCAGACAATCAAAGCTCCGGTCAACCTCAGCTTTCCATAGCCAGAGCCACCTCATTTCCGGTGGTTCCCCTGAGTTTTCCGGTCCTCCTAGTCCTCTTAACAAGCAGAATTCAGTTGGCCCTGCAGGACCCGGGTCGCAACGTTGTTTGGATATCCTGAATGCCTGGAATGGTACTATCTGGAGTAAAATGAATGATCCCGGTGCCGGCGGCGGGTTAGCCGGCGATTTGGAGTCTCCGACGTCTACATTGAGCTATTCCGAGAACAATGCTCCTCAGATGTCTTCCACTAATCGAATTGGGGAAAGTTCCACGGCGTTCATCGAATTCGTCGGGAATAATAATAATAATTCATCCGGGTCATGCGAAATCATGAAAGAAGAAGGTGAAGAGGATTGGAAAGGGTTCGGAAGCCGGAGCAATTTGCCGGACGGGATTGAAAATTCCATTTCGTTTACGTCGGGGCTTCAGGATCTTACAATGCCAATGGATACTCCGTGGAACAGGGAGGAAAACCCGGATGATGATCATCATCATCACGCTCGTTCAGGTGGGAATTTTGTGGAAAGATTCACTGATCTCTTACTCAGTACCGCCGGCGGTTCTGTGGAACAGAGCAGCTTCTCAGAGGGCTGTGGAGAATCGGATAACAACAACAACAACAACGGCGGCGCTATTACTACTACGGCGACCGGAGCCGCGGGGCCCGGAAGTGAGTATTTGGAAGAAAATAAGAATTACTGGGATAGCATTCTGAATTTGGTCAATTGTTCACCTTCTCATACGCCCATGTTTTGAGAAATTAACTGAGAGGCTTTGTTTCTTCATCATCTTCTTCTTCTGCTACCTACCAGTGATGATGTTATGGAAAAAAAAAAAATCCTTTGGAGAGAATGTTCAATTGTCTCTAGATTGATTGATCTCTGTCTTTTTCTTCCATTTTAGTTTTTTTTTTTTTTAATCTTTCTCATAATCTGGATGAATGGATATCGATCTTTTTTCTGATAATGTCATTAATGTCAATTACTAGGTATGTAGTAGCTTCAGCTCAAATGATCAGTACATCTTTCCATTACAAGATTTCTGTTCTTCCCTCTTTCTATTGACTGTAACTCTGTATCTCCTTTTCTTGGCAGTAATTCTTCTAATAAAAATTTTTTTTATGTCGATTTGGGTTCGTTCTTTATCTTCATTTAATGAGTTGTTTTGCCTTAGTTGTCAGCTGCAGCAGCTGATATGACGTTCTGGGGCACTGGTTCTCTGTGTTCCGCGGACTGAAAAATTTCCTGCAACGAAAATTTATTACACGACAATCATTTTAGAACGAAAAGATATTATATTATTATTATTGAAAGGGAAAAGAAAAAGAAACCCTTTTACAAATGCAACGGAATATTTTCAGATCATTTAATAGTTTTCGGCTATTAATGCCTGCGATTTTAGAATTCTACCCATAGAAAGGAGGGCATTTATGATGCTCTTTACTCTTTACTGCTATTGGTTATTTGTCACATTCTTGTTTGGAGAAGAACATACAGATATCCAAGAAGAGAGCCTGCCTGTGTCTCAATTTTTATACTACTATGTTTTACTCTTGAAACAATGTCAATTCACTAATTTTTGTTTCACCAAAATTATTGTCTCGTCTCAAAATAAGATTATATCTCTTTTCACCATCGCTAATTCATGACATTACATAATTGGTACAGTACAACAAATAAGATATGATGATGTCTGACGTTTGAAAAAGGATATCTAAATTCTAAATGAATCAAGGGAAGCATCAAGATTTTTCTTTATTACATACTTGTTTAGTACTCCATTATTAGCAATGGAGGATGACAACCATCGTTGAAATCGAGCCATACTTAGAAAACAAGGATCCTATCAGCTGGTCACGCCCACGTTAATGTGCTGGATTATTCGAGTGCCAAATTTGAAGATCTTTCCCAGTAATATTGATTGTTACTTGTATAACTAATAAATCTTTAATGGCATTTGCAGAAAGCTTATGCTTCAATATTCCAGGCAAATCAAGACTTTTGTCGGCCTTTCTTAAGTAGCAGCAAAGAATTAATTAAATCCAATTGGACAATTTTCAAACTTAAGCTAGCTTGACAATGTTAATTAAGTGTATTTTCTTACTCAAAATGGTTATTCGTTATAACTCTTTCTCTATTCAACTATCAAAATATAGTCATGGATTCTGTTTTTGTGAAATAAATTGGGTAAGAAAGACATGTTATCCAAATTTTCCTGACTAATGTTTTTTTTTCTTTCTAAACAATAAGGAGAAGATATGATCCACTTGACATTATCAACGGTATCAATGCATCTTACATTGTATTTTAACAGAAGTTAAATACATCTTGATACTAAAAATTACAAGGAAATTGAGAATATATTGAATATATTATTACCATCATCGTAACAACAAAGAAGAAAACAGTATACAATAGATAGTTATAATTAGACCATGTGGCGTGGTATGTGTCATGTGTGTTGCTAGAGTTTGAGAAGTTAATGATGTAAATTGTATGAGTGGCTTTGAGGGACGAATAGTCGCAATCGGCCACCGATTTGGTCAGAGAGATTTTGCAGTGAGGAGGTGAAGCAGCAGAAAGCTAGCTTTGCATGTGCTAATTGAAACTATGGTAAAAATCGTCCATCCACCCAGGTGGCCAAGGTGCATTTGATCCTCTAAAATAATTTGGTCCATGATGCCTCAATTAATTAGTGTATTTAATTCTCTCTATCACTTTTTCCTTGTTCTTCTTCTTCTTCTTTTTTCTTGTCAATTTATTGTCACTTCTTAGCTTTAATCTTTTACTTTTGATGCACCCTAACATAGGCCTGACAATTTATGACACGATTCAGAATTTCGATACAAACCTAACACGAAAAAATCAGGTTTGGATTGGAATTTTGGACCCGTATAATTAACAAGTCGGGTTAGGATTGATCTGTTTATTATAAAGGTCGGGTTCAGGTCAACCCGTCAGATTATTCGGATGACCCGAATATATGTAATTTAAGTATTTATCATGGGTAATATCGGAATTTCCCACCAAAAGTTACCTTAATATTTTCTATATCCCCTTCAAAATTGAGGTTGTGATTCACTTTGTCTTCACTCCTTGTTTCTTAGGGGGCGGCCGACCCCGACAAAGATGAAAATCCTCCAAAATCTTTAATCCATTGCATCAAATTGTCTTCAATATATCTTAATCTTTGATCTATTGACATTCAATTAGATTTTTTCACTCATTTTAAATATTGGGCTTGACCTTCGCGTCCTTTCTCCCTCGATATGTATCGCTTCTTCTCTATTCCCTTTGGGATGATAATTCCGGCAAACTCATGTCATCGAACCAGCCCAAATCTCACCGGAACGGACAACAAAATGATGATTTTTGGCTGTGACAACGCGGCGTTGATGACAAGATCCGGCCAGCAAAAATTGAAGTTAATCACAGGTTGCACATCGAGTTGTGAATTCACAGATGTATTATTTAGATGATTTCTGGCTGTCACGGAGTCGATTGCTGTGGTGCGATGATTCCATATTCCTTTCTATCTCACTGATTATTAAATTGATTTCACGATTTCGAGACTCAACACTCGGAATTATGTGTCGACGATCTCGGTGGACCAAAACTGGTTGCCGCCGACTGGGTACTTCAAACGTTAGGATTTGTGGTTGTTTTGACTTGGTTTTTTTTTTTTTTGCTTTTTATTTTTTCACGGGTTAAACAAGTCGGGTTAAGATTGATAGTTCCGACTTGTATAATTAAACAGGTCGGGTTCGGGTCAGCTAGAAATTTTTTGGGTTTGAGTTTGACCCGACCCGCCAACCCGAACCCGACACGGATTGCCAGTCCTACCCTAACGCACCTTTCTTTGAGAAAAGACATAACTTCATACACTCTAATTAATTCTTATATATAATATTTCCTCTGTCCCAAAATTATTGTCCAGTTTAAGATTTCATTTTTAGTACGATTTGAACTAGAAATGAAAACACAAATTGAACAATAATTATGGAACGGAAGGAGTACGTTTTATAATCAGTTTGAAAACAAATCTTAAATAAATAGAAAATTTTTTCACCTTGAGAAAAGGAGGTATATAACTATATATAGGGCTCTCAGTATCAAACGTAATGTCGATCTTAAGAAAATTTCATGTAGCATATGATTTTAATAGACTAACGTTCAAACAAAATTAGAGAAATCTCCCAAATATGATCACATCCGACCTTTAGCCATGGGGTATTGAATATTATCTTAGTGTAATCCTTTTTTTTGTGTGTGTGTGTGTGACTTTTAGTTACAATATTGATCATTTGAGAACTTTTATAAAGTTTTGATTCATTCAGACAACTAATATCTTCAAACCGCCTTCGTGATGATCAAAGTAAAAACTCGCCAAACTGAATTGCAAAGCTTCAATAAACCTAAAAATAATTTCCCCCTCGGACGATGGCTTTTATTTTATTATTATTATTTTTTTTCCTCATCCAACATATATTGATCATCAACGGTTTAGTAGGTGGAACAGTGAGGAATGGGAGCAGTAGAAATAGCATCTTTTTAATTAATTAATAAATGGGAGTACTTTCAAAACCCTTGCACGCACATTTTTGTTGATCATCTAGCATCTCCAGTTTGCTTGGAGACTGGAGAGTATAAGTATCAAACACCACACCACCAAATATCCTTCTTCCCACATTAAAATCATACTAAATCTTTTACTACTATTTTCCAATACAAAAAAGATGGGCACAATTTAATTATTTTTTTATGGCATTTAATGTATGAAATTATGAAGGGCCAGGCTAGTGCTAAAGGTTGACCGTGGTTTCATATTGGCCACATTTCAGTTTATGGAACTGATGTTACCTGTTTTTCTTTTTTTTCTTCTATGCTTTTATTTAATTTTTACAAAAAAAAAAAAAAAAGAAGATAAAAATTTTGGGTCTACATATATGTAAAGTATTAAATTCATATAGTAAAGGCATATAATAATATGTGTGTACCACCACATGGCCATGCTCAAGTCCTTCCGGCCAGGGCCAACTCTGAGCTCAGTTTCTTCAGTACACCGTATTAAATTTTTGTCACTTTTGCCTTTATTTTATTTTTTTTATTTCTTCTTGTGGTGAAATTTTCCTTTAATTACTTGCATATGATGAGACGAGTTCCATTTGCAAGCATACAAGTTACAAATGAATTAATTTTTAGACTCTTCCAGGCCACGTTTTTTGTTGGACCGCCGGCGGTAAAGGATCATTCACATTTATACAAAATTGAATATTAATGTTTAGTCCCTCTCCATTCGGAAAAATAATAAGACTATCTCGCGATGATGTAATATTATTATACTTCCTCAGTCCCCAAAAAAATAGTCAATATTGAATTTTGAGTTTCATACTGTTTTTAGTACAAATCTGAAATATCAATGTGGATTATTTTTTTGGGACGGAGGTAGTACTATTTTAGTGTTCTTCATACATATTGATGCCCAGGTTCCCCATCTTCTCTGCTGAGTAGTTTAACTCCAAAGATTTTTAGATTTTTGATGCCCTTATTCGATTGAACCAGGAAATTATCACCTATAATGATATGAATGAACACATATGAACATATAGAAACATATTTAAAAATGTTCACTAAACATATGAGTGAGAAAAACACAGTTACTGAAATGTGATAAACTCTAAAATAACACGTGTGTCGTCTCATTTAAGTACCTATCCCTTTTATCATAAAAAATCGACTATTGTTCATTTTACATTTATTTATGTCATGATATACGAAAGATCGTTCTGATGAAGACTCTTGAATTATTGCACAACCATTGATAATTAATTACGTTGATTTGAGTGTCCTACTGACGCATGAACCTTAAGAAAGTTTGACAATAAGACGCCCCCAAGATATTTTATAAAACTATAAAGTTTCTTTTAAATCGGCACAGACGGGACGGAGTAATTATTTAGGGTTGACCTGACATTATAAGTCATTTTGATTTGTCTTAAAATTAGTTATCTAGTATATTTTTTAATTGAAAGTAAAACTTTAATAATATATTTTCACATTTCTTGTGTTTTCCTAAGTATTATAAAATATTTTAAAAGTTTTTAATTCAAAAAACATACTAAATGAAA